ACGTGCCAACCCCTGGGACTCCGCCTGCAGGGGCTCCCCCAGCGCGCCAAGCTCCCCAGGCCGACTCCGGGGATCGTACGCCACAGAGCGTCCCTGCCCCGTGGTACAAGCGTCTGTCAAAAGTACTAGGTTCTTTGCAAACCACCCCAGACCCGAGTGGATTCCTGACTGCGGCGCGGGTCGGGGCCGGGGGCCCGGAGAACTCCACGCGCGGAGGGAGCCTGGTGGAGTGAAGAGCTGCGAGACGAGTAAACTGCAGCCCTGGAGCCGTCTGAGCTCCGATGGGCCAGAGGAATCTCGCACGTGACACTGAGTATCTGATCAGCACATTGATTTCAACGCAACCTTTAAATTTGTGTTTTCATTTTTAATCCAGATGTATATCTGGTATTTCTGATTTCAAGATTCCGGAGAATCACGACAACCAACAACCATGCTCATACACTTAATTGCACTATGTGGAAAGCATTTAATGAGAATGAGCATTCCTAGAGAATCAATGAGAAAAGCAGAGGAGGAAACTATGATAAATGTCTTGTCTTCGGTAGCTTTCTACTAATTACCACTAATTTTGCTGTTTCCTCACCTTTGTGTGATTTTAAAATATTTTGTCTCAGTCTTTTAAATTCAGGCTTCCTTTTGTTGCTGAATGACATTTCCAGCAGAAAGGGAAAGAGAATTTACCTGGAAGGTCAGACTTCCCTAGCTCATATAGCTTAAACTCTTTACCCAGTTTCTTTCAGCAAAATTTAAGTGCTTAGTCTATCACTGGTTTCTAGGTTGTCTTTGAAAACGGCATACCAAATGTTTTCGATGACAGGTGTCAACTTTAAATGTCTTTCCATCAGAAACTACACCAGGTGTCAAAGAAGTAGATAGCCACAGCTGGTGTTGAGTAGTGCTAAGACAGGAAACCCCTTGCTATCTCTTCTTCAATAGAAGGGAGCAAGCAAACTTAGCTGGTTTTCACATTTGCAGTGAATCCTCTACAGTAATCTTTGAGATCTCACCCTGACAGGAGCTCTCTGATGAAATCCTGATATTTTGTGAAGCCCCAAATTGTTGTGGAATGGACCAACAATCAGAAAGAGGATTCAGTGTATTTGGTCGGGTCTCTGATGCCCCCTCAAGAGCAGGTACATGTCTTTTGCTTCTGCAGTTCAAAACCAGTGATACCCACAATCTCTTTACTTAACTCCAAGTCATAAACTTCACAACAATCTCTACTTTTCTCAAAAGGAACAGGTTCTTTTAAATTAAAGTTGTGTGTTCCCATTTAGAGATGTGGAGGGGGAACAAATTGGGTAAATAATTACGATTACAAATAAACCTTCGTAATTTTATTTTCAGTTCCTTGTTGCATTATGAAAAAAAAATCCCCTTAAAACTAAAAGGTTCCATATTTGGTTTCAGTCCTTAAACAAACAATTCAAACTCCTAAGCTACTACAGCTGCCATTTTTAGCAATTGTTTTACTGTTTGTTTTCTACTTTAAAAGTGTTAAGAACTCAGTAGTGAAAAAAAAGGTCTGAACCTATAAACATAACACAGTCTACTTATGGGATGCTGCAAAGTTCTTTAAAAACTTAACTTCAATGCTATGTAAATTATTATGACCTATAGAATATGAGTATCTGCAATTAACAATGTCTTTGAGTTAAATTGTATTGTACTTGATAAAACATAGGAACTCTACTTCATATCTTGAATTAGACATATCAAAGAAGCTAGGTATTTGCTCTTCTCACTTTCTTTTTAAAAAGTCTTTAAAATTAAACAGATAGCTGTAATATAGAATGATCATAATATGCATATAAATAAAATTGTTAGTAATTCAAATATAAAACATAAAAACAGATTACTTTTACTGAAGAGAAAACTAATCTCTATTTTCTCATTTTACAACTAACTTTATAACAAAAATACGATTCTGTTTTACAAAGTTAAATAAAAGCCCCATGATCACATACACACCTCTAAACTAACAGTTAAGCAGTAAAAAAGAAAACTATTCAAAGGGATACTTCAGTACTTTTTTAAAGAATGATATTAAACTAAGATTACTGTTCTTGAATTACCAGCCTGACTTTAGAGATATACATTGTAACTGACCTATAAAACTACACATTTAATTGAGAATGAAACACTATCAGAAGAACTTGCAAAAGTGTTTCCACGATAAATTTGTTTGGAAGACTTTGGCTCCTTTTGTAAAGAGCTAATCATAATATGTAACTTCAAAATAATTTCTTCACTTAATTCCTTATGAAAATGAGATTGAAAAAGCCAACAGAATAAAGCCAGTTTTAAGATCCTGTTCTGTTTCTCTTTACATATCTCCTTTGATAATTCAGAAAATTCCATTATCATGGGAATATATGCTATACATGACTAAAAGAAGTTTTGCTGATTTTAACATATATATATATATTTTCTTCAGCTCCTAGCTGAACTTTAAAAGTTAGATCTTTATATGTGCTAATTACACCTTAACATCCACATTTAAAAAACTGTTGAGGTCATTCAAGTGGTATATGTATATAATCCTCCATACATATTAAATATCAACGTATGCCAAACACTTTGCTTATAGGAGAATGTGCCTTTCTATCAGGACATGAAGTCTAGTAAGAGACACATATTAATTCACTCTACAAGCATTTACTGCAACCTGCCACTGTTATGAAGGCTGTAATTGCTCTACACACTGTGTTTTGGGACCAAAGGAGAGGGACTTAGTGTAAAGTAGGTGAAGCAAGAATATCTAAACATCACTTAAATAATAAAAGAGCAGTTAAGCAGTTTTCAATACAAAATTAGCTTTTAGTCAGCAATAAAATTTCCTTCCCCCACAACATTTTTCCTCTAAAAAAATTGTGTTAGCATTTTAAAAGGAGACCAATTGGCAGTATGAGAATACAATAATTATTTTTCCAACACCAAATCTAAAATTACTAAAAATAAAGGCATTCCTGCCCCATAACCAAGTAGTGGACCCACAATATTATCTACAATGATGAAAGTAAACATAACTATCTTAAATGTTGCCTCGCCCTCCTTTTGGGAAATAACATCAAGATTTTATGTTTAGGTCCCAGCAGACCATGCAGTTGTTTCATCCAGTTTGTGAGGAGAGCAGAAGAGACTTGAACACTTTCATCTGGGGAAGGGAAGATTAACATCCCTATGTATGCTTTCTGTTTAGGTTTTATTTCCTATTCTTGGCTTTTAAACGCTTTAAAGTCAATTATTTACATTTCTTTACATTTTTCACGTTTTTGTTTCTTTTTAGTATTAAGGCCAGGGGGGAAAAAAAAAGCTAAGACGACAGTGATTTAGCTGGTTCCAACGTCCTAAAGATATACCTTCTTTTCCAATAATTCAAAGGATACAGATATGGAACTCATCCTCCCAAAGAAACCCGTGATGAGGGCGATTCCACACACGAATAATTTTGCTTCCCCAAAAGGCACCATATAGAGCAAAAGTGATTGATACTAAAAATTGATGGAGAAGTCTGAAATAATGTAGAAGTCTGAAATACAGCATAACATTTTCTAAGGCAATGACATGGATGAAAATCAAATTATTGCAGCTTAGTGCGTGGGTGTGAATGTACAAATATCTTTTTAGACTTAACGTGAGTTTTCTTAAGTAATAAAGACTGTCACCAAAGGCTGCATCACCAAATAGGAAACCCTAAGCGTCTGCTCCAGAGGCCCACCGGCCACTGCCTCCCACTCCTTAAATCTTGGCGTTGTTGCACTTGTGTCGGAGACGGTGGGTACTGTTCCTCTCCCACCTTTTGATCAGTACAGGACACACGACACACAGATGGAAGGTGCCACGTAGGAAACCCCCCTTAGAGCCCACCGAGCCCGCGGCCGGGCCACGCGTCCTGTGGGTGCGGGTCCCCAGGGCTGCGCCGCGGCCGGGTCCCGAGAGTGCGTGCGGGAACCCCGCTCCACGGCGCTGCGAGGCAGCCACGTGCGGTGTGCACTGGGGCGTCGCGCCGAGAGAAGGGGAAGAATGTGGACGTCCCCGACTGCCTCGGCTTTTCCCATGCGTCCAAACTGTCTCCAACTCCGACGCGCGGCTTAGCGGGCTCCGCGAAGTTT